CATATACATACATACATACATACATACATATACATACATACATACATACATATATTTATTTGAGCCTGTATCCACATCTACTAAAAATCAGCAATTGTTAGAATATAGTACCTCAAATTTTAAGTATTAGAATAATTTAATTTGGAAGATCAGAAGGTTTAATGCAACATGACATCCATGCCAATGAGGAGTGTATAGCAACCTTTGGCCAGCACTGTTGCTTGGTTACCATATCTTAAAATAATGAATATCAAGTTAAACTTAGCTGTAACAGATATATAGTTCTCGTTCTCATCATAGGTATATTTAGGACTTAAGGGTATACGTAGAGTATATAGATCTAAATCAAGAAACATACATATTTTCCATACCATGGTCATAAGAAACACAAGCTCCACAAGAGATAAGCCAATCAACCAGCCACACAAACATTAGTAAAAATCAATTGTTTGCACTTTGTAGCTGATATATTTATTTCTTAAACATGTTAAGCCATCCATTGCCATGCTGGCAACAGGTACACACCATGTAAGATTTAGTGCATTGCACTGACATCATACTTTTTGTCAAATGAAACGCTAATCTTTTCCATTGAAAAAAGAAAAGACCCACTAGGTGGATATAGCAAACAAAGGGGACAACAGTACTGTCACTGTTCAGCCATGGTGATACCACTGGCTAATAGAAGCACGGAAGACATCCCAGCTTCCAAGGCTAACCAACTGTCTTTTAAATCAACATTTTCCATCCATAGTCATCAGGCTGTCACTTAAAATGACTGAAGTTAGACTCCAGGACCTTTTCTTCATCTCCATTATCAAAATCTTCTCACTGCAGCTGGCAAAGCTAAACACTGGTTTAACGGGAGAAGGACAACAGAAATCAGACACACACAGGCACAAAATACAAGTAACAATGTTGAACATTATCTTGTATTCCTGCCTGTTTTTATACAAAATGGAAGGGGTACCTCGACGGTCAATGTTTCATTTACCTCCTGTTCAACACGAGGTTAAGATATGGATGATTTTTTTGCTTTTTATTATCTTTTACAACACTTCCATGATATTGGAGGACATTAGAAACAGTTTGGGACAGGACTGATGCACAACAATAACAAATGCAAACAAGTCAGTGTCTTGAATGACAAAATAAACAGCAGATATTATAGTTTCATATGATCTTACTCATGGTAACACCCCCCCCTCCCCCACCATGCACTACACAATAAATCTTGGATTTTCATATGTTACATATATGCTACATTCTCTTATTTCTTATTTCACTGATATAAAGGCAAACATGTCTCAATGCAAAGTAAGTTTCTCTGCTTTTCTTTACACCTAAATTAGTACTATAGGTTGAGATCTGACAATTTAAACAGTATGACAGCTCATAGCAAACAGAAGTGTAGCTCATAAACTTGATTTTACAGAAATCATTAAGTCCTCTGATAGCAAGAATAGCAGATTTTGGAGTTTCTTTTTGTTTTAAATCAACAATCACAATGTATATACATCACCAGAACTAAAGCAAGCTGAATATTTGAACATTCTGATCTCCCAAATGGTATTAGAGTAGCACACACAGAAATACACATAAAAATACAGAACTAATCTTTAGGAGAGGTTACGGTAGAGGACTCTTGAAACATTTGCTTTATATTTAAAATGCATACCAAAAACGTTTAAAAAACAAACCAAAAAAGGAAAAGAAAATGTTCTCAATATTATGTCTATTTTATTACGTCCAAATACGGTGTGCTGCCACCCGGTGGTGGGATCGGATATTGTCTGTTCAGAAAATACCATAACAGTAAAATGTAATAATGTTTATATCCTGTGCGAGGTTGTGTCCTTATGGAAGGGTCGAAGGTCTTAAGAGCTGTCAGGAGGGTTGGCTAGTTGACTGCTCCACTAGATTTTTTCTTTCTTTTTTTTTTTTTTTTTTCACAAAGCGATATGCCATTAACTGTAAGAAAAGACAAGAAACAGAGAGAAGAACAGGGTTTTAACAGCATGCAGTATTTGGTCTTCCAAAATAACTACACATATTAAAAATTGACAGCAGCGAGCCTTTTGTTGCAAAAATACAAGTACACTTTGTAAAATGGCCAAGACCAATTATTGGGAAAATCAAACAGTTCCAGTATTTACTGAACATAGATCCCAGTATAATGTAACAAATTGGCTTTGTATTTATTTGAAGGAAAAAATAAATTTAATTTTGCATTCTGGCTATTATGCTGAATTATTCAGTTCAAGTTTACAATAACAAACAAGACCATTACTTAAAGTCAGAATTTCTAACGGGAAACTAACAGGAAACCTAAAACCTTAAAATTTGGCAACGAAGCAATAGGTGCAAGGCTAAATTATGTTTTTGGTTTTTTGTTGGTTTGTATCTCATAAATGGAAACTTTAATGCATGCAAACACTTTCTGTGATATTAGTGAACATTCTAAATACAAAAACTGCTAGTAGTTCACTTTCATTAGCATGCATTGCTAAAGCTAAATGGTTCTCTGAGCACGACAAGACACCAAGGTAAAGATATCACACAGACTTTTCTTATCTGGTTCAAGTGTATGCTAAATTTTGATATATATATATTTTTTTTTATTTTGTTATTAATTTGTGTGCACATTTCAGAAGTACAGTATCCACCAGCAGTTTCAGTTTAGATGTGCAGTCATATCAGATTATAACCCTTTTTATTTATACGCCAGTACAGTAACTCACTCTGTTTGCATACAAAGTTATTCTGAAAGGTACCCACGTCCCACCGGTGTATTATTTGTTGTTTTTGTGTTTTACACTTTGCTTTTTGCATGGTTTGTTAGTAAATAAAGCCTTTTGTTTAAATTAACAATATAAAAGAATATAGGATACTGTACATGTGCACATGGGGTAAACAAAAAAGTAGCCCTTTAAAGCTAAGCCAGTTAGCACATCCCAGTGAAGTATAGAAATATAGAAAAGTCCAGGATCCAGAGTGCAAAAATGCACACAAAAAAAAGAATTTGATTCCAAATGGGTCCAACAGTGATCGGATTACATTATGAACTTTGGTGTTCACTGAAGGGGAAGCTAAAGCTGCCAAGGAATTCAGATGTGGCTGCTAAATGAATGGATATTCAAACATTTGAATGCTGATACTAGTGATATCAATGATACCCTTAGTCTCTACAGTCTCAGTACAAATGGAGTTATAAATAGATTGATTGGTTCCTGCATTGATGTCTCCCTGGTTGATTAGTTAGAAATGGGAATTTTCTTTTTTTCTGATGTTCTCATAGGAGGCTTTGGGGAGGATTAAATAAAACTTAGAGTAGCTGAAGATTGGTTTATTTTATAAATAACATTTAGTTTTCATTTATGCTGAGCTATTTGTTTACCACGATGGTCAGGTTCTATTTAGCAGTCGCCATCCGGCATTCCAATAGTAAAGCTGTACTGATGGAAGGTGGCGCCTCTGTGCTGGAAATCTATTTATGCTTAGAAAGGAGCATCAAAACACTATAAAGATGAATGGCTGGTGTATATACCGTAACCATTTTCATCATAATCAAAGGGGTTTTTGATATTTTTTTTGTAAAGACAAATAACATGACTATGCAGCCTTAAACTGGCGGATTCTCCAAGTATTTCCTGATGTATTTCTCTTTTAAATAGTAATCTGATGCAATATTATTGTGCTAAATATATAAGTCCAATATGCCTTTCTTAAATTTGGGGGAAATGTGTTTAACCTTTGTGCTATGCTGTAAGATCTATCCAACTGGGAAAACCTGATCACTCTGGAATATTCGCTGGCATCTGACTTAACCCACTTCAAAACTTAGGAGAGCGACAGATAATTTAAGCCATTTTTAAACTGTACATTTTTGAAAACTAACTATAACTTACACCTGGGACCAGGCCATACCTAAAGTTGACCATCTCTAACAAAATCAAAAGCCTGAACTGGTAAAATAAAAATCATCCTGTGGATAAACTAGTGTTTTATTCCATAATACTATAAATAAAACATTTTAGTCACAAAACAAAAAATCCTTGCAATGTCTGGACATGCATCATTATTACACTATAGTTATTATTATATGCATTGGACATGCATCATTATTACACTAATTTAAATTCTAGGTGTGTCTTTGAATTCCTTGTTTATTCATTTCTTAGGACCTCTTACTGAGAGGGGATGCTCGGTGAGCCTGAGCGGTGGAAGTGAATATTCTGCCACTTTCCATCACGGCGCTGCCACACACGGGTCTCCTCGGACTGCATCGTGCGGGGCATTCCGCTGCCGTCCATGTACTGGGTCAGCCGAATATAAGCAATGCATGCAGCATTTTCCCCGATGAGGTGCACGTGTGGGTTCAGGAGGATGGTGTGCACTGGCTTGTTTCCTTTAGAAAGTGCTGTGAATGAGAGATTACAGAGAAAACACAATGACTAAATGAAGTGGAAACCCTTTTCCCATCATTTACAGCCATTTTAATGTAAAACTGAGTCCTCTTTTTAGTACAAACTGATAGTGTATGAGGAACCCAAGCCTCCATATGTTGATGCTGGAGAGCGGACAAACAGGGGCTTGCCAAGTGATTGAGGTTTCTAGGACATATCTGGTTTATCTGAACTATTTTTACCCGGGCAGCGAACATTCTGCCATTTATGGCAGTCATTTTCCATGGCTGAGTTTTTGCTCCAAGGTTAGTTCCTGCCCTTGCACAGTGGCAGACAATACAAACAGCAAACTGATCGGCAAATATTGATACCGAACACATAACTTAAGTCATACACATGCATACCCAACCTAAACTCTGCAAGTGAAAAACCTTCACCCACACTCGTTCTGCAGCACCTTTAATATGAGTCTTTGAATAGAATATTGGGATTTAGTTAGACGTTGCTTCCTTGTCTATCTGTAGTTATTCTATTTGCAAAATCTCGAAGCAGCTCCCCAACCCTGTTCCAGTTTGAGCTGTGAAACTAGGCAACCGAGGAGTCTATTTACAGCTAACCTGAATTACTTTCTTTAAACGCATGAAGCAGGACACTAGCAATGGATTTTTAGCACAGTGTGTGCTTCAAGGAAACTTTTACAAACTCTCTCTAAGCATGTTTTACTCATTTTGATCCATTTAATTAAAATGCAACCAACAACTGCATGTATGCATAAACTAGAGACCAAAGAATTAAAGACCGTAGGGACCAAACAGTAAGAAACATCCTTGTGTTTCTAATTACTCTACTTTTTACAATCCAAAATTCCTAAGAACTTTGGATTAATTGACAGCTTGATCGCAATCAAAATCAAAAAAGGAAGGGTGATATTTTAGGGCAAAAAATACTCGAGTCGTAACTTCAGTGAAGAAGGGCTGTTATCAAAGCCATACGAGGTTAAAAACGAGAAAATGGCCTTAGCAAAAATATAAATAAATAAATATTTGAGGTGTGGTGAAAATTATATTTTGTGCTAATTTGATGTGCTTCCAACCCTTTAACCTTTATAGTACAGTGCCTCGATAAAGACA